GGGGGGGGGGGGGGGGGGGGGGGGGGGGGGGCGGGAGATCGGCATGCGAAGGAAGCCAGCAAATAGTCTGAAACACCGGGCCTCAACCAGGTCCGAAGGAGCCCGCCTTGCTTGGCCTCAAGGACTCAAGGATGCGCGAGGGGTGCGGGGGGGTGGGGGGGGGGGGACTTTGTAGGTTCAGAAATTCTTTGGGGCTCTTGTAAGTTTTTGGTTCTGAGGCTTGCAGCTTGCTTTAAAGATCTTGAAGGGCTCAGGGAGCTGTGGGGCATCATATTCTGACCCCAAAGCCTTAATGTACACTGAACCCTTGCCTTGAAAGAAGATCTGCTCAAAGTGGTTGGACTCTGCTCATTTAGAGTTCTTAGAGTCCCCCCACATGCCTGAACCACCTGGTTCAGAGCATTTGCCTACAGGTTCGCGGGGGCCCTTCGAGGTAAAGTGCAGAGTGCACAAGCCTTTGACGGATTTAATGACCATGGACCTGTCCGCAAGCAGATCCCTAATCATAATAATAATAGCAATAATAACAACAAAATAAGAGTAATCATAATGGTAGTAGAAAATGGAGGGGGATCGGCCCCAAACCATAAACCCGGCACTTCCCAACCCCATGGAGCTTCCAAACACACCTGATGGACGTCGGCTCCATGTCAATTACCGCGCCCTCCATTTACTCGTATTATGAATAAAAAATAAAATGGGTTTGTGTTTTTATGGGGACGCGCGCGACAGGTGTTGGGGTCGGGGCATGTTTCGCGGGTATGTTTCGGGATTATGTTTCGGGGGTATGTTTCAGGTATGTTTCGCGGCATCATGAGCTACTTTACCTGCAATTTCGCGGGTATGTTACGGGGTATGTTTCGCGGGTGTGCAACCTGAGCCCCCCCCCCAAAAATACAAACCCATATGAATAGCATTATTATTACTATTACTATTACTGTTACTATTGCTATTACTATTACTATTACCATTACTATTACCATTACTAATACCATTACTATTACGATTACTATTACTATTACTAGTGCTATTACTATTACTCAACTCATGAAGTTGCAGGCAAACCCACCCAGCCGTCCCGCAACTTCCGCCTCGACGTAGCCCGGGAGCGGCATTGGCATCCTGCTTGGAGGTTTAGGGCTGAGGGCTTAGGGCTTAGGACCTAGGGTTTAGGGTTTAGGGTTTAGGGTTTAGGCTTTAGGGGTGCGTGTTTCCATCAGAAGCGGCGCTCAGGGGGTGATGTTGTGTGAGGCTGACCAAAAAAAAGTGCCCGCTGTGCTCACCTAGAACCTGCAGAAGTCCCAAATGAAGTCGTGGCAGCCCTAAACCCTAAACCCTAAACCCTAAACCCTAAACCCTAAACCCTAAAACCCTAAAACTCTAAAACCCTAAAACCCTAAACCCTGTAAAAGCCTCATCCCTAAGTTTAATTTTGAGCTCTCCTTCTGCACTCGTGGGGTTTGGGATTTGACTCCGCATCCTTTCTGGGGGGTCCCTGCACCGAACTCGACCACACGGCCAGGGCCAAAGGAAGGCGGAACCAACCGAGGGTTTATAGGGTTTAGGTTTAGGGTTTAGGGTTTAGGACATTAAAAACCCTAAACCCTAAACCACAAACTTCAGGTTCGGCTGGGCTTCCCATGCCCCGAGCCTCGTGCTGGAAAAACTTCAGGGGCTGCATGGCCTCCTGCACTTAGGAATCGGATTTCAGGTGACTTGGAGGTTCGGGGTGCTTATAACCCCCAATTCTAGCTGATTCTAGCTGTACTTGAAAAGCTCCCTAAGTCCCCTAAGTAGGTTATAAGTAGACTTACAACTGGGGACAGAAGTATCATATCCATGAATCTTTTAACTTTTAGTAGGGGGGTCGCACCCGACCCAAGACGCAATCTCAGCACGGTTGCACTCATCTCGGGCCCCCGGCGTGTCGAAAGAGGCAGTCCTGCGAATCTCCATGGCTCTAGGGTCCGTTGAAAAGCTTTTGGGGGGGGGGGGGGGCTTTTGCTCAAAGTGGAGAAAATGCGCTTTCATCTTTCATTCTGATATTCGTCCGTCTCTCTGCTTCTTCTTCTTCTTCTTCTTCTTCTTCTTCTTCTTCTTCTTCTTCTTCTTCTTCTTCTTCTTCTTCTTCTTCTTCTTCTTCTTCTACCCAGCGAAGAGAGCCCCGAAGCACCCCCGGCCACTCCGTCCGTGTCTCTCTCTCTCTCTCTCTTTCTTTCACTCTCCCTTTCCCTCTCTCTCTCTCTCAACTGAGGTTGTCGGGAGGGCGGTGTAAGAAAAACTTGAACAATGTTTGATGTCTAATCTAGCACTCAAGGCTTTAGGCAGCTTTAAGACTACTATTTAGGGAAGTTGTCAAGCCTGTGCTGCAGGACTCAAAGCAGCGGGCCGATGTAGGAAAAAACACGGCTACAAGCATCTCTCGTGTTTTTGCTCACCATCTACATTGGTGCACCAAATCACGAGGCCAACAATCAAAAGTTGTATTTGCAAGTGCCCCGGACAAGCACCAAAAGCCCTAACTTAAACGCGAAACCCAAAACTCTCAAGTTTTTGAGGCTTTGAATTTGGGGTCGCGGATGCCGGAATTTTCAAAACCCTCGGACCTCTCCATTTCGGCATCCCGAGGGGGTGTTGAAATGCCAGCAGAGGCCTGCGGCTCGAGCGTACTCAGCGAGTCAAATACCGCTTAAGTTAGGAACATGCTTGGAAGTCTTGTCGGATCCTAGTACGTAATCTTGGGCTCTCTGGGTAAGAGAACTTGCATGGGAACCCATGAGCTTCTGTGAAACCCATGGACACACCATGCTGCTCTAGATCCAAACTGACCCAACAAGGAAGCTGCGCCCATAAGCCTCTAAAGCGACGTGCCGGCTGCGTTAACTGAATAACAGACACGCTGACCTTCGATGTCTTTGCGGTCATGGCTATACTCCCCTTAGAACCGTAATAAAAATCATATGTTTAATATCCTCTTGGGTTTTATGTAAACAAAAAATGATTCCCAATGGGGATATAGATGGTCCACAAGCCAAGCATCTTCTACACCCTTTAGGGTTTAAGGTTTAGGGTTTAGGGTTTACCGGATCCACATCCGAAGATTGACAGTGAGAACGAGCATACAGTGCTGCAACGCCCTGATGACGATGCCCAAAGCGTTCAAACAAGAGCTTGCAAGGTTTTGCTATGGGGACATAGGGGCTGGTTTGCTGGTTTGAACAGGCTGTTCCTTTTCTGTCTTTGTTTTTTTGGGGGGGGGGGGGGGGGGGGGGGGGGGGGGGGGGGGGGGGGGGGGAAGGGGTCCAAAACCTTAAGGGCACTCAGAAAGTGCCCAGTGCACAAGGGGTATGGATCGTGGCCAGAGGCGCGGCGCCTGCATCGCCTGGCCGGGGCCTGCCAGTTGGTGTCGAGGGTTTTGTGCTTAGGGCAGGCGAGGCTGCGAAGGTCTTCTGGCACACGTAGATGTTCTGCAACATCGGGTTTAGGAAGGTTTAGGGTTTAGGTTGCACCACCTTGCTGCATTCTCTGCAAAAATTGGCAGCGGCACTTCAAAGTAAGGTTCCACCTCAGCCTCATGGAACCATATCCCGAATCGGCCGCGGCGTCCTCACCATCCTCGTGGTGCGACGGAAAGCCAGGCAGGCAGAGGAATCCATTTGGGTTTAGGGTTTAGGGTTTAGGGGGTTTAGGGGGTTTCCGAAGCTCGGGGTACCTTGTTGGGGTCTTTTTTGAAAAGGGAATCCTACTTTTTGGGTTTGTGTTTAGGGGTCCCGTATTTTCGTGAACCCCCATTTCTCTCCCAATGGGCTTCCATGCATGTATGTGATGTCTACAGTTAGCAAACCGACGGCGAAACCGAAGGACATCACACACCATGTGCAGGCCAGAAAACTGGTATGAGCGACGGCAAGGCACATGAGCTCTAAACTAAAACATGGGGTAATTACACAGAAGTGGATTTCTGACATCCGTTGCCAGAAATCGTTAATTGCATCGGGTTCAGGGGGCATTTGGCCCGTGAAACGCCTCGACTTGGCCCATGTCAACCCCGACCTCAAACAAATCTGAACTGGTGACGATGTGCAGGCTCTGCAAAGGTGTTGGCTTGGGAGTGTGAAAACCGGCACTCCGCGCCACGGGTGCAGGCTCCACGGGCGAAGAAGATGCAAGGCACATTCGTCGTATCCTTGCACGGATCACTCCAGAGAAAAACTCGCTTGGAAATCTGGGAAGACGAGGTGGGCTCCTGACTATGAGAACTATCGCTCTCGGGCCTCGATACGCGCTTGAATAATTAATCTCTGATGGTAGATTCTGCATGCCAGGCAGGCATCTTGTGCAGTGTATTCCACTGTGCGGACAAGATCTGGCCCACGTGAATGAGTGCAACCTGCAAAACGTAAACATGTTTGCGGGACGTTGCAGGGGGCTAGGGGCAGGGGCGGCACCAGACTAGCTCGAATGTGCTGCGCTTGGCTATCCTTACCCTAATGCAATCCGACAAGCCTCCATTGAGCCACCCTTTCAAAGCTCACCCCAGCCTCCACTAGGGCTGCATCGCTTTCGCCAGGTGTCACCTCCCGAGCTATGGAAGATTCTGGACAAGCTTCTTGAGGGGCTGAAAGATTTGGGTGACTTTGGAGTTCGGGGTGTGAGCGTCCGGACTGGGCAACTTTTTCGTTCCCTAAACCCTAAATCCTAAACCCTACAACCCCACTAAAAATCTGGGAACATTCAAGAGCCGTGCGTCCTAAGACCAACCCACTAAGCTGTTCAAGATGCGGTGGCACAGGGTTTCGGCTCTCGCTCAAGGCAGCCAAGGATTCTGTTCGAAGGTCCATTCTCTAGCCATTCATGGGCTTAGGGTCCAAGGGTTTAGTCTGCGAGTCCAACTGGCCACGATTGTGCACAAGCCGTCACCTGCTTCGCGCAAGGACTCAAGTATAGCTTCAGCTACAGTCTCCCAATCTCACGCCCTACGTGCGAGTCCCTCAACTTGCGCTGGTCAGCGCAGCTCTTCCGCAAGACTTCAAGGTCCGAGCTCTAAGTTCTGGAATGCGAGAGGCACCCTTTGTCTTGATTGAGGTTTCTGGGCCGCGAATTCCGACTCGTCAGGCTCTGATTGACACCTACTCCCCAACTTTAGGGGTTTGGGCTTAGACAAACCCACAGGCCAGCAGCCTCGTGTCGAAATCGGCATGCGCTGCCGTTGACGCAAGAGCCCCGAGCATAGAAGCGGCAAGGCGCGTCGACCTCCATTTGCAGGACAATACGTCCAGGACATGGTTCCATAATGTATCTCAAGGCTCACTTTCCTAGCAGCATCACGATCAAGCGGGCATGTCTTTGGCAACCAAACTCCTGAAACAAAAAACATCTGCGCACACGGTGCGCGACAATCCGTGGCAACAGGGACTCAGGACCTACATGAAAGCGTATATGAAGTGGGGTCTCCCAGTATAATATACAGTCACCAATATGAAAAAGGAGAAGCCAGAAGGAGGGGTTTTGGCCATCTGTGACAAACCCAGCCTGGCCCGTGAGCCTCGCACGCTTGGATGGCTGCGCCATGGCATAGTGTACCAGGATGGGCTATTTTAGGCCTTAGAATCCCCATAATCAACCCAATAAAGGGCCTTTTTAGGGGGTGATAGGGCATAAAAGCCCTGGTATCCCAGCATATCCCCAACCTTGGCCACTTTCAGGGCATGGCCATCTTCAGGGATCCGGACCCGAAACCGGCTCTTTCGGGAGAGCTCACGGAGGGCGGTTCCGAAGGTCTTAGCTAGGCTGGAGACTGCAGGACGCCACTTTAAGGACAAACTCCGAGCGCACGATGGCATGCTGCGTGCTGCATGCTGTGTGATCCGTGGGCTCCTAATGCCCATGAAGCTCCGCGACACAGCAGCCGAGCATTGCAAGCTCTTGAGGACAAGCAAAGGCTCTCAAGACTGCTGTGTTGCTGTTCGTGACGCATCTCCTGTCACCTGTTTTTCCCGCAGATGCCCCAGACCGGGATTTGCGGAGTGACGCAGGAGTTCACTTCACAGACAAGCCCTTGAACATCGGAATCTTCATGGTCATGGGTTAAAGATGATTCAATTGAGTGGAGGGTTTCTCCTACAACGCTCCAGGTTGGCTGGAGAAGCACGAATTATGCACGCCTGCGCTTTCTCAGAGTTGGGTCTCGAATGGTCTCGATGCTCGTGCCTGGGGTTAGTCGAGAAGAACCCTCTCAAATTCCGGACCCTAATTCTTAAGACCCTACAAACTTCAGAAAAGCGCTACTAAAGCGCAGCCCGTGAGTTAGCGCGTGACAGCGCTGCAACGCGGAAGCAGGGACAGCAAAAGCGCGCTCCTGCTGGAAACTCGAATTTGTATTCAAAAATTGTGTCTGACCTTAGATCAAGACACATGTGTGGCCAGATGGCCAGCGCATTTTCTGCAGGTTGACGGCAGGATTCAGCTGATGTAGTACGCGTTACTCGAGTTCCAGTTTGCACACTTTGCTGGGGAGGATTGGGCAACTGATGGCAATGCCTCAAGCCAACAGTGCTGCGCGTGTACCAGCATCTCGTGTGTTGGAATTGTCCTCATGTTACAAACCCTACTTCTATGGATGCATCAGCGGCTCGGCGCAATGGCTACGTTGACTGCATACCTCCGGAGCCACAAGCTAAAAGCACAAACAAGTCTTTCATGGCGGTGTTCGCCAAATCTTCAAACCCGCTGCTTCTCAAGCAGCACTTCTGGCACAGGCTTGCTGACAGGAAGGATGGATGCAGTAACAATCTGTCATAGTTGCACAGTGCAGACTGTAGCGATCAAATCATGCCATTATCTATCTCAAAATGTTTCTGGCAATTGCCGTGCCAAATGACGCTTTGATTCTCCACGCTGCGCTTCTGGCCGGCAGCTGCTCCCAGCTTCACCGTATCATCGAAACTGATGCTTAGAGTACCGCTTGGACATGCATCTATACATGTATCTCTACCTATGCCAACTACAGGTCTTTGTGAAGGCAAGTATATGCCAACTAGGTCTTTGAAGGCAAGTATTTGCAGGTCTTATGGTCAGCATGGAGAAAGGGCCTGAAAGGGCCTCCAGCCGTGCACGGAGAAGGGGCTCTGGTTCGTTCCTGTGGAGCCTTATGGCGCCTTAGGGCACTTCCCTCATGAGCTCTGCTGGCTCAGTTTGCTCCTGAGGGAGCTCGTTGGCCGCTTGCTCGTCGGGCTCGGTCACGCTCAGGTCTTCCTCACCATTCGCGTCGCCATCAACCGCATGGCCCTGTCCATGGTCTTGGTCACGTTGCATGGAGCCGTGTGCAGAGGACATGGCTGTGCCACCGCCGGAAGCCCCGCCGGAAGCGCTGGCCGAGCGGACGCCAAGCTTGACCGCCATGTCCACCATGAGCCTGTCCATCTCCTCGAACTTGGTCTTCGTCAGCCTCTCCAAGCGGCCCACTGCACTGTCATCCAAGGCATCCTCGAGATTCGGCCATGGCAGTGACGGGTTCGCGAGCCCTCCGAAGCGCTGCACTCGATCCAGCTCCACAGCCGGATACTGCAAATACTCGTACGGGCTCTCGAGCGTGGGCACAGCACCTTTGGGGCCGGTGTCGCCTTCGTCCAGTTCGCAAGCATCCCCCAGACGTAAAGACTCCACGAAACGTCCCCAGCGGTGCTTGGAGATCAAAGGCATGGATGTTTCGTAGATAATGATGCCTCGCGTCAATCGGGCGTTGCCCCGTGCATTGTGGAAGATCTCATTGTAGCGCTGGCACAGCTGGGCTACCATGAGATTCATCAGGTACACATGCCAGCAGGCTGCAAATGCCATGACGAACCACTGCAACATCGGCTCCCCGGCCGTCGCAATTTCCTCGTAGTTGCCGCTGCCGTAGGTGTTGACAGCCATGGCCAGCATGTTTTCGAAGGCGGCAAGCATGTTCCCAAAGTCCCGGTTCTGTATAGACTCAGCTCCACCAAGCTGGGGCAAACACGCGACTCCGGCGGCAAATGTAGCTGCAAAGAAGACCAGAACGGCCATGTAGAGGAGAAACTCCCACCACAGGCTTCTGCAAATGACGCTGAAGACGGAGAGCTGCACATGCAGGTGGACCAGCTCGGAGGCCAGGATGAAGTAGAGGAGCATCGGGAAGGCGGCAAGGCGGTTGTAGAAGCTACCCAGGCTGCAGTACCACTCCCCGTAGTCGCAACATTCCACTCGCAACTCGCCACTGACAGACATGCAGTGCAGTACAGGTTCGCAGCAAAGCATTGCAAACAGAAGGATCAGAAGCACCACTTCCGTCATCTCCTGACCGGACTGCAGCAAGTAGGATGGTAAGTGGCAGCGCCAAACGAAGCGTTTGGTTTTCTTGGCACGAAGGGCCCGGAAACTCTGGACCCCGTGCTTCACCAGGAGTTGGCCGAGACTGGTAAGATACAAGGCGGCTCGGCAAGCGATAACTGCGTATCGCTGTGAGCTGCCGGCATCCTGCGCTACGATGCCGTTCTGCTCCGCAACAACGAACAGGATAAGGGTCACACAGAACCATGCTTTGGTGATGGCCCATGGCAGGACACAAAGCCGAGTCCACAGCAAATCGGCCTGGAAAACGGCAGACGGGTGACAGACGATCTCAGGATCTCCGTGCTTGATCAGGTCCAGGAGGGAGGTGGTAAGCTGGCCCTCATCACCAACCAACATGGAGCTGATGTAGTAGTTCACACGCCGCATGCCTTGCTTCACATTCTTGGAACGCCAAATCAACCCATCCAGCACCGTCGTGAGCAGCGAGGGTGCCTTGTTGCAAAGCAGCGGAATGATGTCTGGGTGGCGGCTCCAGATCGCTTCCATTCCGTAGTAGTAGCGTGCACGATCCGCACGCATGGTGAGCAAGTCCTTCAAGATTGCCCCGGCAGACTCCAAAGCCCCTTTCTCCACAGCCCATACCAGTGGCGACATGGACTCGGTGCCCACCTGGACACGGAGCAAAACCACATCGCGCTGCCCTCGAGGTGCATTTGACACGGCCGTGTTCAGCACTTTGGTGTTGTTCTTGTTGATGGCGATAATCACTGGAGTGGAGCCTTCTGCCAAGGTCCGAATGAAGATTCGGCCGATCAGGTCCAAGGTCCACCAAAGCCCGTCATGTATGGTCGTGTCCGGAACCGCCTCCTTGATGGAAGTCATGAACGCTTCAACAAAGGGGCGCACCAAATCCTCTGGAACGCCATGGCCCGCGTGTAGCAGGCCCAACGCAGAGATAGCAATGACCGCCTTGTGCGTCTTGGTGTAGATGTCGGACATGATGTTCAACACCCGCCCCATGATATACTGCAAGCGCTTGTTTGCAGCCCGCAGGTACAGCTGAGATTCCTCGCAAGTTGAAAAGAATGTGTCGAAGACCTGGAGTTTGAAAGTAGCCAGGGCATCTTCGTCCAAGCGGGAGAGAAACGTTCTCAAACACTGCTGGTTGCGTATCGGAACCTGTCGGATCAACTCCACCTTCTTCTCCTTACTAGTCCAGCTTCCATGGGGATTTAGGAATGAAATAATTATATAACTTATACAACCTCTGGGATTGTCCCAAGGTCTAGAATGCGTACTAAGTACTAAAGACATGTACATCCTTGCCAGCCAAGTCTCCACGCAGGTCCAGAACCATGACCAGGCGTTCTCGTGCTCGAGACTCCAGGCGGTGGGCAGAAGCGACCTCAAGCTGGCGAACATCACGGAGCGAAACTCATTGAGATTGACCTTGTCATAGTGGGCCAAGGTCAAAGCAAGCACATCGCACTCCTCCTGCACGCGGTCGATGTTGCCGATGTGCGGCACCAACGACTCCATGGAGTAAAGCAGATCGGCAAACCACATGCGGTCCCCAATGCCCATGACTGAGGCATTGAAACGCGCCATTGCTGCGAAGGTCTTGGGGATGTTCATGTTGGAGTTGTCCTGCCAGCTCGTATGGCGCTCGTCGTCGCCCTTCTCCATGTCACTCGGATCATGATCTTTGTGCTCCTTCGATGAACCTTCCGGAGAAGCGGTGTCCTGATCCTTGCCATCGCGGCCTTCCTCCTCGTGCTCCTCCTCCTTCTCCTCATCGGTGGCATTCCTTCTCCACAAAACAGCGAATAAAGCAGATTAAAATTCTCTTCAGCATGTGAAAACCAAAAATGAAAAGTTGAACTGTTGGCTTGGCAAGTTTCACTTCCTTCCAGCAGCCAGTTAGAAGCCGAAGCCTGTCCGCATAGTGTGCGTGGGTGTTTGCCAACGAAATGCCGACAGCCTGAGTTCGCCAGTACCGCCCAGCTGTTCTTCTCTACTAGGAATGTTTCAGGAAGCATAAGCCCCTCGATTTAAGGAAAAAGGGTGGGAAAAGTTTGCCACGGGGGGGGAGGGGGCGGGTCGGGGGTTGCGTTCCGAGCAGCTGTGACGACCTGGCCAAGCCCAAATTGAAACTCGGCAGTCATGAGCCCACCCAGCTTCTTGGCACAAACTTCCAAGAGGATGCCTTTGAAGACCTCGACGTCCGCCGGAGTGATGTCGGCATTCATGTGGCGCAGGGCAATGTACTCCAAACGGTCCTGGACGATCTTGGGGTCACTCAGAGCTTGCATCAACGCATCAAGTAGGTGCCACACGGTGCTCGACCGTTTCAGCATGCCCTCGGTTTTGGGCAAGGCCTCCGTCAGCTGGCGGAAGACCACATCACCGGCTTCTCGTGGTCCCCCCAGCCGCTTTTCAACCGTTTCCCAACCATTTTGGACCTCTTTGATGGTGTACTCATCAAGCTCGATCTTGGAAAGCAGCTTCGATGCCTCTTCCATCACGCCGACGATCCAATGCACTTGCGCTAGCACTGAGGAGGCTTAAAAGTAAAGTTCAGAACAGCCAGAACCACGTGAAGATGCACCGCTACGCTAGTGAGATCGTCCAAAGTTGGTCCGGCAATGTCCAGCACATGCTCATGCTTGGTCACGGGGTTCTGGCTGTCTCTGTCGGAAATGCTAGCGCCTTCAAAGTTGCAGACCTCTTGTCTGTCAGCGGAAAACTACAATGGCTTGAGCCGTAAGTTCAGGTCCAGGCAATACAACAAACGACTACAAAGTCTGGTACCAACAGACACTACATCACGCCGAACCTGGGCGAAGAACAGGTCCTGCTTAAGCTTATCTCGACGTTTCGACTTCATTGCATGCGAGAACGTTCGAAAGCTACTAGGCTTCTCGACGCAGCATCTGTGCATCACGAGTTCTCTTTTTTCGCAGATGCCCCAGACCAGGATTTGCGGAGTGATGCAGGAGGTCATAGGCGTGTGAAAGGATCCCATGGAATGAAATGCAACTGCAGGTCTCTCCTACAACACTCCGGATGGCTGGAGAAGCACAAGTTGTGCACGCTGGCGCTTTGCTGGGAACCGGTCTCGATGCGCATGCCTGGGGTTTGCTTGAGAATGCCATACCCTCCTCAACACTGCAAAGCCGCAAGCCCCGATTGCATAAGACCCCTGGCCCTGAACGCACGTTCCAGCATCGACCTCGGCCCCACAAATGTTTGAAACGCGCTGAGGCCAGCATGTAGAGCGTGACGGCGCTTTAAGCGGAAGCAGGAAAGACAAAAGTTCGCTCCTGCCTGAAATTGGGAACTTGTATTCAAACATTGTCTGACCTTTGGTGAAGACAGTGTGGCCAGATGGCCAGTGCATTTCCGTTGGCTTGATGGCAGGTATACTCAACCGATACTGAGGTAGTGTGCAATGTTGCCTAGGGCCAGTTTGCACTGGTTTGCGCAGTTGTTGAGGTGCATTGAACAACTACCTCAAGCCAACAATGCTGCACGTCTACCAGCATCTCGTGTTGGATGTGTGCTCGCCTTGAAAAATCACTTCCGCAGATGCATCAGCAATCCGGCACAAAGGCAACGCTGACTGCATGCCTCCGGAGCCACAAGCCAAAAACACAAACAAGTCTTTCGCGGCGGTTCCCGCCAAATCTTCAAACAGCTGCTTCTCCAGCAGCACTTCTGGCGCACGCCTGCCGGCAGAAAGGATGAGTTGAACAGTGCAGCTGTGAAGATCAAATCGTGTCATCTTTTCGAATGAAAGGTGTTCATGGCAGTCGCACGCCAAAGTAATTGAACTTTGAATCTCCGCGCTGAGCTTCTTGCCGACAGTTGCTCCTAGTTCCTCTTGCGTTTCAAAGCTCATGGTTAGGGTTCTGCTTCTACGTGCACACCATGTCTATACCATGGTCTGTAACGACTCTAGTCAAAACGGCTGAGGTCTATCGTCAGCGAGGAAAAGGAACCTAAAACGGTGTCCTTCCGTGCACAGAAAACAGGCTCGGATTCATTCACTTGACGACGTGGGGGGTGTCTGTCAACAGATCTGCAGGCTCGGTTTCCTCCTGAGGGAGCTCGTTGGCCGCTTGCTCGTCAGGCTCGGTCACGCTCAGGTCTTCCTCACCATTCGCGTCGCCATCAACCGCATGGCCCTGTCCATGGTCTTGGTCACGTTGCATGGAGCCGTGTGCAGAGGACATGGCTGTGCCACCGCCGGAACCCCCGCCGGAAGCGCTGGCCGAGCGGACGCCAAGTTTGACTGCCATGTCCACCATGAGCCTGTCCATCTCCTCGAACTTGGTCATCGTCAGCCTCTCCAAGCGGCCCACTGCAGTGTCATCCAAGGCATCCTCGAGATTCGGCCACGGAAGTGACGGGTTCGCGAGCCCTCCGAAGCGCTGCACTCGATCCAGCTCCACAGCCGGATACTGCAGATATTCGTACGGGCTCTCGAGCGTGGGCACAGCACCTTTGGGGCCGGTGTCGCCTTCATCCAGTTCGCAAGCATCCCCCAGACGCAAAGACTCCACGAAACGTCCCCAGCGGTGCTTGGAGATCAAAGGCATGGATGTTTCGTAGATAATGATGCCTCGCGTCAATCGGGCGTTGCCCCGTGCATTGTGGAAGATCTCATTGTAGCGCTGGCACAGCTGGGCCACCATGAGATTCATCAGGTACACATGCCAGCAGGCTGCAAATGCCATGACGAACCACTGCAACATCGGCTCCCCGGCCGTCGCAATTTCCTCGTAGTTGCCGCTGCCGTAGGTGTTGACAGCCATGGCCAGCATGTTTTCGAAGGCGGCAAGCATGTTCCCAAAGTCCCGGTTCTGTATAGACTCAGCTCCACCAAGCTGGGGCAAACACGCGACTCCGGCGGCAAATGTAGCTGCAAAGAAGACCAGAACGGCCATGTAGAGGAGAAACTCCCACCACAGGCTTCTGCAAATGACGCTGAAGACGGAGAGCTGCACATGCAGATGGACCAGCTCGGAGGCCAGGATGAAGTAGAGGAGCATCGGGAAGGCGGCAAGGCGGTTGTAGAAGCTACCCAGGCTGCAGTACCACTCCCCGTAGTCGCAACATTCCACTCGCAACTCGCCACTGACAGACATGCAGTGCAGTACAGGTTCGCAGCAAAGCATTGCAAACAGAAGGATCAGAAGCACCACTTCCGTCATCTCCTGACCGGACTGCAGCAAGTAGGATGGTAAGTGGCAGCGCCAAACGAAGCGTTTGGTTTTCTTGGCACGAAGGGCCCGGAAACTCTGGACCCCGTGCTTCACCAGGAGTTGGCCGAGACTGGTAAGATACAAGGCGGCTCGGCAAGCGATAACTACGTATCGCTGTGAGCTGCCGGCATCCTGCGCTACGATGCCGTTCTGCTCCGCAACAACGAACAGGATAAGGGTCACACAGAACCATGCTTTGGTGATGGCCCATGGCAGGACGCAGAGCCGAGTCCACAGCAGATCGGCCTGGAAAACGGCAGAAGGGTGACAGACGATCTCAGGATCTCCGTGTTTGATCAGGTCCAGGAGAGAAGTGGTAAGCTGGCCCTCATCACCAACCAACATGGAGCTGATGTAGTAGTTCACACGCCGCATGCCCTGCTTCACATTCTTGGAACGCCAAATCAACCCATCCAGCACCGTCGTGAGCAGCGAGGGTGCCTTGTTGCAAAGCAGCGGGATGATGTCTGGGTGGCGGCTCCAGATCGCTTCCATTCCGTAGTAGTAGCGGGCACGATCCGCACGCATGGTGAGCAAGTCCTTCAAGATTGCCCCGGCAGACTCCAAAGCCCCTTTCTCCACAGCCCATACCAGTGGCGACATGGACTCGGTGCCCACCTGGACACGGAGCAAAACCACATCGCGCTGCCCTCGAGGTGCATTTGACACGGCCGTGTTCAGCACTTTGGTGTTGTTCTTGTTGATGGCGATAATCACTGGAGTGGAGCCTTCTGCCAAGGTCCGAATGAAGATTCGGCCGATCAGGTCCAAGGTCCACCAAAGCCCGTCATGTATGGTCGTGTCCGGAACCGCCTCCTTGATGGAAGTCATGAACGCTTCAACAAAGGGGCGCACCAAATCCTCTGGAACTCCATGGCCCGCGTGTAGCAGGCCCAGCGCAGAGATAGCAATGACCGCCTTGTGCGTCTTGGTGTAGATGTCGGACATGATGTTCAACACCCGTCCCATGATGTACTGCAAGCGCTTGTTTGCCGCCCGCAGGTACAGCTGAGATTCCTCGCAAGTTGAAAAGAATGTGTCGAAGACCTGGAGTTTGAAAGTGGCCAGGGCATCTTCGTCCAAGCGGGAGAGAAACGTTCTCAAACACTGCTGGTTGCGTATCGGAACCTGTCGGATCAACTCCACCTTCTTCTCCTTACTCGTCCATTTTCTAAGGGGGAACCTAGAGACGACCTCGGGTGCTACATAGAGACTACAAGTACTGCCGAAGACAAGTTAAAGAATACAGGGACATCCTTGCCAGCCAAGACGCCACGCAAGTCCAGAACCATGACCAGGCGTTCTCGTGCTCGAGACTCCAGGCGGTGGGCAGAAGCGACCTCAAGCTGGCGAACATCACGGAGCGAAACTCGTTGAGATTGACCTTGTCATAGTGGGCCAAGGTCAAAGCAAGCACATCGCACTCCTCCTGGACACGGTCGATGTTGCCGATGTGCGGCACCAACGACTCCATGGAGTAAAGCAGATCGGCAAACCACATGCGGTCCCCAATGCCCATGACTGAGGCATTGAAACGCGCCATTGCTGCGAAGGTCTTGGGGATGTTCATGTTGGAGTTGTCCTGCCAGCTCGTGTGGCGCTCGTCGTCGCCCTTCTCCATGTCACTCGGATCATGATCTTTGTGCTCCTTCGATGAACCTTCCGGAGAAGCAGTGTCCTGACCCTTGTCCTTCTCATCGTGGCCTTCCTCCTCGTGCTCCTCCTCCTCCTTCTCCTCATCGGTGGCATTCCTTGCTGGTCCAAAAAAACAGCTACCACAGAAGCAAACCAAAAAAAAGCGAAGTTGAACTCTTGGCTGGGCAAGTTTCACCTCCTTCCAGCAGCCAGTTAGAAGCCGAAGCCTGTCCGCATAGTGCGCGTGGGTGTTTGCCAACGAAATGCCGACAGCCTGAGTTCGCCGGTACCGCCCAACTGTTCTTCTCTACTAGGATTGTTTCAGGAAGCATATGCCCCTTCGAAATAAGGAAAAAAGGGTGGGACAAGTTTGCCAACTTGGGGGGGGGGGAGTCGGAGGTTGCGTTCCGAGCAGCTGTGACGACCTGGCCAAGCCCAAATTGAAACTCGGCAGTCATGAGCCCACCCAGCTTCTTGGCACAAACTTCCAAGAGGATGCCTTTGAAGACCTCGATGTCCGCCGGAGTGATGTCGGCATTCATGTGGCGCAGGGCAATGTACTCCAAACGGTCCTGGACGATCTTGGGATCACTCAGAGCTTGCATCAACGCATCAAGTAGGTGCCACACGGTGCTGGACCGTTTCAGCATGCCCTCGGTTTTGGGCACAGCGTCCTTCAGCTGGCGGAAGACCAAATCACCAGCTTCTCGTGGTCCTCCCAGCCGCTTCTCAACCGTTTCCCAACCATTTTGGACCTCTTTGATGGTGTACTCATCAAGCTCGATCTTGGAAAGCAGCTTCGATGCCTCTTCCATCACGCCGACTATCCAATGCACTTGCGCTAGCACTGAGGAGGCTTAAAAGTAAAGTTGAGAACAGCCAGAACCCTGCGAATGCACCGCTAGTGCCGCTAGTGAGATCGTCCAAAGTTGGTCCGGCAATGTCCATCACATGCTCATGATTGGTCACGGGGTTCTGGCTGTCCCTGTCGGAAATGCTAGCGCCTTCAAAGTTGCAGACCTCTTGTCTGTCTGTGGAAGACCAGAATGGCTTGAGCCGTAGGTTTCAGGTCCAGGTAATACAACAAACGACTACAAAGTCTGGTACCAACAGACACTACATCACCAACAGACGCACACACACACACACACAGAGAGAGAGAGAGAGAGAGCCACAAACGGCAGACTGCATGCTGGTGTACATCACGCCGAATTTGGGCGAGGAACAGGTCCTGCTTAAGCTTGTCTCGATGTTTCGAATTCTTTGCATGCGAGAAAGTTCGAAAGCGGCTAGGCTTGGGGTGTTGATGCAAAAATGTTGGGTGCATCATGGCACCATGAAAATCTCCACCATGAAGCTTCTCGACGCAGCATCCGTGCATCACGAGTCCTCTTTTTCCGCAGATGCCCCAGACCGGGATTTGCGGAGTGATGCAGGAGTTCACCACACGGATAGGCCTTTGTCTTTAGATCCCATGGACAGGAAATGCACATGCGGGTCACTCCTAGAACACTCCGGGGTGGCTGGAGACTGGACACAAGTTGTGCACGCTGGCGCTTTGCTGGGAACCGGGTCTCCGATGCGCATGCCTGGGGTTTGCTTGAGAATGCCATACCCACTGCAATGCCACAAGCCCCGATTGAGACCCCCTGGCCCTGAACACACGTTCCAGCATCGACCTCGGCCCCAAAAATGTTTGAAACGCGCTGGGGCCAGCATGTAGAGCGTGACGGCGCTTTTAGCGAAAGCAGGAAAGACAAAAAGTTCGCTCCTGCCTAACATCGGGAACTTGTATTCAAAATCTGTCTGACCTTTGGTGAAGACAGTGTGGCCAGATGGCCAGCGCATTTCTGTTGGTTTGATGGCAGGTGTTTCAGGTGATGCGGAGTCTCACCTCCTTCTTGCCCGGGCCAGTTTGAACACTTGCTGGGGAGCATTGAGCAGCTGCCTCAAGCCAACCATACTGCGCGTGCACCAGCATGTCGTGCGTTAAAAAACTTATACTTCCGTGGATACATCAGCGGCCCAGCGCCAGGGCTACGCTGACTGCATACCCTCCGGAGCCACAAGCTATAAGCACAAAAAAGTCTTTCATGGCGGTGTTCGCCAAAACTTCAAACCGCTGCTTCGCAAGCAGCACTTCTGGCACACGCTTGCTGACGCGAAGGATGGATGGTAGCAATGGCACGGTGCAGCTCTGAAGATCGAATCGTGTCATCTGTTTCAAAAAAAGGTGTTCGCGTCAGTCGCATGCCAAATGCTTTGAATCTCCACGCTGGGTTTCTTGCCGCCAGTTGCTCCTAGTTCATCTTGTGTTTCGAAGCTGATGCTTCGGGTACTGCGACGTACACCCTCTATCGCAACTATAGTCCCTAACGACTGAGTCAAGACGGGTCTACCATCAGCGAGGAATTCTGTGAACAGGCTCGGGGTCATTCATTTGATGCTGTGGGGGGTGTCTGTCAACAGCTCTCCGAGCTCGGTTTCCTCCTGAGGGAGCTCGTTGGCCGCTTGCTCGTCGGGCTCGGTCACGCTCAGGTCTTCCTCACCATTCACGCCGCCATCAATAGCATGGCCCGGTCCATGGTCTTGGTCACGCTGCTGGGATCCGTGTGCAGAGGACATGGCTGTGCCACCGCCGGAACCCCCGCCGGAAGCGCTGGCCGAGCGGACGCCAAGCTTGACCGCCATGTCCACCATGAGCCTGTCCATCTCCTCGAACTTGGTCATCGTCAGCCTCTCCAAGCGGCCCACTGCACTGTCATCCAAGGCATCCTCGAGATTCGGCCACGGCAGTGACGCGTTCGCGAGCCCTCCGAAACGCTGCACTCGATCCAGCTCCACAGCCGGATACTGCAAATATTCGTACGGGCTCTCGAGCGTGGGCACAGCACCTTTGGGGCCGTTGTCACCTTCATCCAGTTCGCAGGCATCCCCCAGACGCAAAGACTCCACGAAACGTCCCCAGCGGCGCTTGGAGATCAAAGGCATGGATGTTTCGTAGATAATGATGCCTCGCGTCAATCGGGCGTTGCCCCGTGCATTGTGGAAGATCTCATTGTAGCGCTGGCACAGCTGGGCTACCATGAGATTCATCAGGTACACATGCCAGCAGGCTGCAAATGCCATGACGAACCACTGCAACATCGGCTCCCCGGCCGTCGCAATTTCCTCGTAGTTGCCGCTGCCGTAGGTGTTGGCAGCCATGGCCAGCATGTTTTCGAAGGCGGCAAGCATGTTCCCAAAGTCCCGGTTCTGTATAGACTCAGCTCCACCAAGCTGGGGCAAACATGCGACTCCAGCGGCAAACGTAGCTGCAAAGAAGACCAGAACTGCAATGTACAGGAGAAATTCCCACCACAGGCTTGTGCAAATGACGCTGAAGACGGACAGCTGCACATGCAGATGGACCAGCTCGGAGGCCAGGATGAAGTAGAGGAGCATCGGGAAGGCGGCAAGGCGGTTGTAGAAGTCACCCAGGCTGCAGTACCACTCCCCGTAGTCGCAACATTCCACACGCAACTCGCCATTGACAGACATGCAGTGCAGCACAGGTTCGCAGCAAAGCATTGCAAACAGAAGGATCAGAAGTACCACTTCCGTCATCTCCTGACCGGACTGCAGCAAGTAAGATGGCAAGTGGCAGCGCCAAACGAAGCGTCGAGTTTGCTTGGCACGAAGGGCCCGGAAACTCTGGACCGCGTGCTTCACCACCAGTTGGCCCAAGCTGACAAGATACAAGGCGGCTCGGCAAGCGATAACTACGTATCGCTGTGAGCTGCCGGCATCCTGCGCCACGATGCCGTTCTGCTCCGCAACAACGAACAGGATAAGGGTCACACAGAACCATGCTTTGGTGATGGCCCATGGCAGGACGCAGAGCCGAGTCCACAGCAGATCGGCCTGGAAAACGGCAGACGGGTGACAGACGATCTCAGGATCTCCGTGTTTGATCAGGTCCAGGAGAGAAGTGGTAAGCTGGCCCTCATCACCAACCAACATGGAGCTGATGTAGTAGTTCACACGCCGCATGCCCTGCTTCACATTCTTGGAACGCCAGATCAACCCATCCAGCACCGTCGTGAGCAGCGAGGGTGCCTTGTTGCAAAGCAGCGGAATGATGTCTGGGTGGCGGCTCCAGATCGCTTCCATTCCGTAGTAGTAGCGTGCACGATCCGCACGCATGGTGAGCAAGTCCTGCAGGATTGCACCGGCGGACTCCAAAGCCCCTTTCTCCAAAGCCCATACCAGTGGCGACATGGACTCGGTGCCCACCTGGACACGGAGCAAAACCACATCGCGCTGCCCTCGAGGTGCATTTGACACGGCCGTGTTCAGCACTTTGGTGTTGTTCTTGTTGATGGCGATAATCACTGGAGTGGAGCCTTCTGCCAAGGTCCGAATGAAGATTCGGCCGATCAGGTCCAAGGTCCACCAAAGCCCGTCATGTATGCTCGTGTCCGGAACCGCCTCCTTGATGGAAGTCATGAACGCTTGGACAAAGGGGCGCACCAAATCCTCCGGAATGCCATGGCCCGCGTGCAGCAGGCCCAACGCAGAGATAGCAATGACCGCCTTGTGCGTCCTGGTGTAGATGTCGGACATGATGTTCAACACCCGGCCCATGATGTACTGCAAGCGCTTGTTCGCGGCCCGCAGGTACAGCTGAGATTCCTCGCAAGTTGAAAAGAATGTGTCGAAGACCTGGAGTTTGAAAGTGGCCAGGGCATCTTCGTCCAAGCGGGAGAGAAACGTTCTCAAACACTGCTGGTTGCGTATCGGAACCTGTCGGATCAACTCCACCTTCTTCTCCTTACTCGTCCATTTTCTAAGGGGGAACCTAGAGACGACCTCGGGTGCTACATAGAGACTACAAGTACTGCCGAAGACAAGTTAAAGAATACAGGGACATCCTTGCCAGCCAAGACGCCACGCAAGTCCAGAACCATGACCAGGCGTTCTCGTGCTCGAGACTCCAGGCGGTGGGCAGAAGCGACCTCAAGCTGGCGAACATCACGGAGCGAAACTCGTTGAGATTGACCTTGTCATAGTGGGCCAAGGTCAAAGCAAGCACATCGCACTCCTCCTGGACGCGGTCGATGTTGCCAATGTGCGGCACCAACGACTCCATGGAGTAAAGCAGATCGGCAAACCACATGCGGTCCCCAATGCCCATGACTGAGGCATTGAAACGCGCCATTGCTGCGAAGGTCTTGGGGATGTTCATGTTGGAGTTGTCCTGCCAGCTCGTGTGGCGCTCGTCGTCGCCCTTCTCCATGTCACTCGGATCATGATCTTTGTGCTCCTTCGATGAACCTTCCGGAGAAGCAGTGTCCTGACCCTTGTCCTTCTCATCGTGGCCTTCCTCCTCGTGCTCCTCCTCCTCCTTCTCCTCATCGGTGGCATTCCTTGCTGGCCAAAAAACAGCTACCACAGAAGCAGACCAAAAAAAAAGCGAAGTTGAACTCTTGGCTGGGCAAGTTTCACCTCCTTCCAGCAGCCAGTTAGAAGCCGAAGCCTGTCCGCATAGTGCGCGTGGGTGTTTGCCAACGAAATGCCGACAGCCTGAGTTCGCCAGTTTCATGTCTTCGCTACTGGGATTGTTTAAGGACGCATAAGGCTTCTGGCTAAAGTAAAAGGACAAGATGGGAGTGGTTACCACCGGCAGGGGGAGGGGAGCGGGGATTGCGTTCCTAGCAGCGGTGACGACCTGGCTAAGCCCAAATTGAAACTCGGCAGTCATGAGCCCACCCAGCTTCTTGGCACAAACTTCCAAGAGGATGCCTTTGAAGACCTCGATGTCCGCAGGAGTGAT